TTTTTTTTTTAAATGCGAAAGCAAGAAAACAACCCATTTGCTGCACTGGGTGACAGATAGATAGAGACGGGGCCAGCGAGACTCCACTCACTCTTTCTAACCACTATCATCCACATTTGTGTTCATGGTCCATCCAAACCGACAGTGTATGTTGAAGAAAAGACCATGGCAGAAACAAACATACAAAACCCATATCTGGGGCTCAACTGGAAAGTCATCAGAATTTTCTGGTATCTACCGAGATCAAACACACGTGCATTTTACAGCTCGGCGATTCCTGTCTTAAGTATGTATCAAGGGCGGTGTACTCCCTTGTGCAGCGAGGGCACGTGTGAGAATGCCCCTAGAAGCATTACCCCAAACATCCCCGAATGGGACGCCACCCCAACGTTCACGACTAGCAGACGAGGATGACTCTGTGGCATGTCCCCACAGTGGACTTCCACACCGCCATGGCAATGACAGACCTGCTGTGACATGCGGCGATCTCGCAAACAGACTGCTGGGCTGAAAGAAGGCGAGTGGAAAAGAAGACGTCCGGTGTAATCTTACTGAGATGCTAGAATAACAGGCCAAATGAGTCTATGGTGTTAGAAGCGAGGCTGGTGGCGGGGGGGGAAAGGGCGTGGCAGGGTTTCTAGGGATTGGCCACGGATGGTCAGTTTGGACAAAGTCATCAAGCACTGTCCTTAATGTGTGTATCTTCTCTGCATTTGTGTCCAGCCTCGATGAGATGTTTTAAAAATCACTCTGAGCTAGAATGCGCAGCACGTGAACGAGTCTGGGGTAAGCCATGGCCTCGACTTCTCAAGACGTGTTGTCCCAGCCCCTGCTGAGATACCAAAGAGATTCCAAAGAGACTGAAGGGACAAAATGCGACCGGCCAAAGCTCCTGGAAATTGTGCGGAGGTTGGGCTTGAGGGTTTAGACAGGGCCCCTAAGGAAGAGGCTGTGGACAAAACTACGGGATGATGCACAACAGTCATGTCTCACACCCCCCAAGACGCATTTTGCACATCCTCAGCATTTTGAAGAGGCCACAGAAGAGAACTTAACCTTTACACCAAATAAGAGCACTGGCAGTCGGGTCGTGTCTGTGCAAAATGCTTTCCGGCACATCTTCCCTCAATCCTCACAAAACCCCTATGAATTAGGTCCCGTTAGGATTTCCATCTTACATATGAGGCTGGGAACAACTCAGCGTCTGTCCCAAGCCACACACGGTATCAACAGGGGGAGGAGAGGCACACTCCAGCTTCACCTCCCAAGATCCTAGCCTCTGCGGTCTTTTCTCAGCAGGTCCTTCCTCCGAGTGGGCTACACTCTGCAGTGCCAACAGGTGGACGGGGACATCGGCTGCACCTTTAGAGACACTGCTCTTCTCTCCAGCTTTCCTTTCTGCTTCATCAGTGCTACACTATCAGCTTTTACATACGGCCACTCGCCAAAAACTCCTACCCCAAATCAGATAAAAGTCTGCAGCACTTTGTTTTCAGCACTTTCGAGAGGCTAACAGACCCTTTAGATCTTTCTCTCTGGCTGAAATATCCCACAGGGTTGCACCAACTTCTTTATCAGTTGAAGAAACCCCTCTGGTTCTCTGCATTTTCAAGTGTCCTGGATTTGTGTTTCCTTAACACGACTCAGAAGGAAACCTGTGGTGCTCATGAGATTAACAAAAAGAGCCCTCACGTGGGGTTCATCTGAACCACAGCCACTTTCCAGAAAACACAGCTGCGAAGGCAGGTAAGCACCAAGGCACGCAGAGTCATTTTCTGTGAGGTTTATGGGCTGGCAGGCCTGCAGAGAAGAAAACAAATCCCCATCATCCTTACCCAGTTTTCAAGCTGACCAAGGCATCTTCCACTCCCTTCTGATTGAATTTGGTCATGTACTGATGCATGTAGGGGTAGTTATTACGAATGTTTCTCTCGGTACTGCCGTTAGGCACCGTGCCAAATCGGAAAGGTGGGGAATAGTCGTGAGGTCTCTGAAACTGGAGAGACAGACAGACAGACAGACAGGACAGAGACAAAGAAAGAAGGAGGAGAAGTCAGCCACCATTGTGTCTTGTGTCGGGAGTTAAACATATGCACGCCCTAGCACAGGACAGCTGAAAAACCATTCATTTCTGTTTCCTTTTTTATTTAATCCCACCTGCCACTGGCCCGTGAGCTCTGAGAGGTCAGAAACAGTGTGTGTCTCGTTCCCAACTGTCCCCCCAGTGGCGAGCACAGGGCCTGGCTGCGTGTGCGACAGGCATTTGTTGGATTAACTTTTTTCGGCCCCATTATAGACTGGCCTTGCGGTGGGCACACGGGCCGTGCTCAGGAAACACTAACTGTGCCGAAATGAAGGTGTTACTTTAACTCAGTTCATTTTATCTACCTTCTCATGAAATTTCTCTGTTTTCCCCACCAATCACTCCCTTGTCTGAACCTCATTCACAATTACCATGACCACCCCTGGGCAATGATGAACAACTCAATGTATCACGCCAGGATACGCCTCCTTGGCCTAAGGATTCTCTTCGGCTGGTTATTTTTACAAACAGCAGACACAGGACAAGGTCTGAAGAGTAAAAGCCCTTTTGTAAGAGACACACTGATATTGGTAGGGGTGTCTGCCTCTCAGCACCTAGAGAAGGAAGATGGCTCATCTCTAGAAACTCTTATTGTTGAAGGCACCAACTTAAGTCTATAGAACAGCCCTCATCCTTGTTTACTGTGCTTTTCCTGACAAGCTCCCCTAACAGGACTCCTCACCCCCGCCCCCCCTTGTCTCTCTTTTGTCCTTAGCTGGTGACAGTGGTCAAGTTGGTGGCTTGGGCCATCGCAAAGAGTTACTTGGCTTTCCTGGGCATGTCCCACGTCTACAGAATGTATCCATGCTATTAAACTTTTGTTTGTTTTTCTCCTGTTCATCTGTCTTTTGTTATAGAGGTATCTCAGCCAAGAACCTACAAGGGTAGAGGGAAAATTATGTTTCCTCCCCTACAGTAACTCTGTGTTTGCCATTTACTCATTCCCCACTCGCTCATTCATGCATGGCCCACTTATTGGGGGCCTAATATATTCCAGGCATAATGGCAGCCTCCACAAACGTTTCTTGAGCTGGAACCATTAGCTTCTTGGGGATGCCCATATCTTGAATGGCTCTCAAGCCTCCATTAAGGTTGGCTGTCCATGCTCCACTGTCTTCCCTGATTGACTGATATTGTGTTCATAAGTGCAGTGCCTGGACAGCCCAGTGAGATTAGGAGTCAAGAGTACTAGGTCTGAGTCCCAGAAACAGAATTAAAATCTAGAGTCAGCAGAGGGCAATAGGTACAAGTGTGAGCTCAGGTTCAAAAGTTAAAAAATCAGGTTCTATCATTTATGAACTATGAGACCCTAGATAAGTCACTTTATACTGCCTCCATTTATTTTCCAGATCAGTACTCCTCTTGTAGGCGTTAGTGGGGCATTCTAAAATTGTTAAAATTTGTCAAGTAATTAAAATAGTGCCTGCAACAGAATGAGCACTCAAAAATAGTTATTATTACTTTTCAATTTTATTATCAGCATGGACAAAAAAAAAAAAAGTAACTTGGGCTTCATTTTTCCATGAAATAGGAAATTCTGGAACTATACAGTAATGATAATGACTGGCACTTTTTGAGGACTTGCTTAGGGCCAGCGTTGTGCCAAGGACTTTACAGATGCTGTAGCATTTAATCTGCACAACGAATCTGCCAGGTAACAAATCTTAGAGGCTCCATTTTACAGATGGGGAAACTGAGGCTGAGGGAGGTTACATGACCTATTTAGGATCACACTGCTTGCAAGCAGCAGCCCAGAATTCCATCGCACCTATGCCTGACCTCAGGTTAAAGTCTGAACTCTGTCCTTCCACAAAGTCCGTCGCTAGTAACCACTCCTCTTTTAGAGGGAGGACCGTGCGACCCACAGAAGGGAAGGATGCCCAGCAAACCCATGGCGGGACCAGGGCTAGGATCCAGAGGCATCTGAGACTTCTAGGTCAGCATGTCTTACACGCAGCTAAGAACTGCTGGAGAAGGCATCCAAGTTCACCCGAGCCAGACCAACCACAACCATCATTCTTCCTTCCAGACTCACACTTCATTTCACCGTTAATTAAAATTTCCACTTGAAAATCGTGTCCCCTGAGTTAGGCAAGCTGCTGTGTAATAAGCAGCCACCGCTGCATTTGGGGGGAAGTGGCCATACATTGGCCAAATGAGATCTTCCTGCTGGGTGCCTTGCATTGGTAGAGTGTGTGTGCATGTGTGTGTGTGTGTGTGTGTGTGCACATGAACAACAAAATGCTCTTTGCACTCCCTCTGGCGGGCAGTGCCTCAATTCATCACCAAAAGAGGAAGAGGCGCCAGCCCCGCTCGTGGGCACGGCAGCCGCCTGCTCTGGGGACACAGGTAAGTACTCTGTATAAATCCAGGTGCTGTGTCAGCTGCTTCCGATCTCCAGAGGCATGGGAGATGGTCCACTTGACCAGATGTCGTCCCCTTCACTCCCCGTCTGCAGCAGAGGGGCCACGTAGCTCTTTACAGGTTTGCTTTGGTCCCTACCTTGGGTTTGCACAGTGACAGAGGCAGATGTTCAGCCTCAGTGGTGAACTTCCACACTTCTCAGGCCTTAACTGTACCATCACCCCCACAAAATTCAGCCCAGCACCGAGATCCAAAAACCTTTCCCACTAGAGTAAAGGATGTCAAACTTAAAAAAAAAAATTTTTTTTTATGTTCATTATGCTTATTTACTTTTGAGAGAGAGAGAGAAAGAGAGAGAGAGAGAACAAGCAGGGGAGGGGCAGAGAGAGGAAGACACAGAATCTGAAGCAGGCTCCAGGCTCTGAGCTGTCAGCACAGAGCCTGACGTGGGGCTCAAACCCACGAACAGTGAGATCATGACCTGCGCTGAAGTTGGATGCTTAACCGACTGAGCCACCCAGGTGCCCCAAGGCTGTCAAACTTTTTACAGCATGACTCTCAAAACACACTCTATGGACTAGGACATTCTTCATGTATACCCTGTCCACACACACACACACACACACGTGCCACTTCCCTGCACTCTTTCTACATGTGATCTATTCTGATGTCACTGAGATGTTCTATTTCTTTAATGGCCACAACCCTTACATTAATTTCAGGGCTCACTAAAAAGCTAGGACCTACAGTGTGAAAAATAGACCGTAGGCACACGAGGCAAGTGTGGGTCATCTCTTAAATCCCGGGGCCTCCCACTGAGGACATCGTCCGTGTAGTTTTCAGAAATGATTTCTTGTGCAACTTTCTCCCAGAGAGTTCTGTGTCCAAAGAGAACAAAACAGATGTGGGCTGTAGCAGAGGAAAGGGTGGTACAGAGATATCCATGGTCAGCAAGACCACAGAGCAATGTAATCACGATGCCGGGGGTGGAGGGAGTCAGTGGAACTCCCTGGGGCTTCTCTCTCTGAAGACTATACTCCCTGGTCAAGTTCATTGCCTTCACTTGGTCTTAGGCTTAGACAGTTCAGCTCCTCATCTGCCCCTTAGGAATTGAGTCATTTGGGGCAGCTGCCTAAGTTCTCCAAGCCTCAGTTTCTCTATGTGTAAACTGGGGACCGATTTTGCAATTAATCATTTGGTCCTTCAAAGAATACGTGGCTTGATACACATTGCCTCATCACCTGCTGTCACCCAAAGTGACTTTAGCCAAATAATGGAGCCAGTTTCCTTCTAATCTGGAGAACAAAGGATTAGGAGGGTTATATTCTAAACTTTTCTCCCATCCAGTATGTGAACAAGTCTGGAAGTCATCCAAGGGGGCAAGACAAGGCAAGCCCTTCAGGACAGAGCAAGTACAGATGCAGATCTGGGGAATAAAATGCTTAGAGCAAATGTGGCAATGGACCAGGACATTTCTTTATTCCTCTTACACATCCAAACTACACATTTATTAAAAATAACTAGGGGAGCCTGGGTGGCTCAGTTGGTTGAGCGTCTGACTTCTGCTCAGGTCATGTTCTTGCAGTTTGTGGGTTCGAGCCCCATGTCCGGTTCTGTGCTGACAGCTGGGAGCCTGG